AACCAAACCTGAGGCTCTCTGTGGCTTTCAGGAGGGATTCCTTGGAGAGTGAAACTTGAGATGAGTTCTGTTGGATAAGATAGAATGAGAGTGGAATTAGAGAGAAAAGCATTGCAGACAGACTGCTTCATGCAACAAACACCCTAGAGGTTAAAAAAGACTTACTAGTGTATTTCAAGGGCCAACAGATCCGTGTGGCTGGAGCACACTGGACAGTGGACTAGGGGGTGCTCCAGTTTGTGAACTAGACAGTCGTCGGTCCCTCACCAAGTGCTGCCATTTCTATGACCTAAATAGATTACAAATGTATTTCCAGGTCTCTCACGTGTCCAAGCCACCCCCGTCTTTGCATCCACCCCAGCTTGCCTTCAGCCCAGGCTGCATTCTGGGCTAATTAAACAGAATTAAACAGTAATCCTACTAATTATACCATTTCCTTGTTAAAATCCTTCAAAGGGTCCCATTATACATCAAACAAAATGTAATGACCTGGCCCCTCAGCCAGATCCTAATTCATGTTTCCTGTGCATGTATTAAACAAATTGCAATTTGCTAAAGATCATTTCTCGTAGCTTCTTAATAGGAATAATAATCCAAACAATAGCAATGTTTTGAGGATTAAGTGAGATAATTGTGTTAAACATTTTCTCTAACTCTGATTCCTGCAATCACATGAAAGTGTTAGTGTATTTTTATAACCTTTGAGAAAATAGGCTTTCTATTGAAAGGGTTCCAGGTGAGCTTGGATTCATGTCGAAATTACTAACAACTTTATGAAAGTCTTTCTCTTGAAGTTTGTTTGAAATTCTAACAGTAACTCCATCTTTTCTACCATAATGCTAAGCTAATCCTTTTTTAATTTTCTATTATCCAACTATTGTGGTATGTACATGATAGCACCAGAATAAGAAACATGTTTTTGTTTGTTTGTTTTACAAGTACCTTTCCACATGGTCCTTCTGGCTTTAAGAAATCTTTCTCTCAGGCTGGGGAGATGGCTTCTGTGGGGTGAATGTACTGTTGCTCAGGGCTGATAACCTGAGTTCAGGTCTCCAGGACACACATCAAAGCAAGGCATAGAATTCGAGCGTCTGTGCTCTCAGTGTCCTTATGAGGGAGATGGGATACAGAGACAGGAACACATCTGGAAACTCAACCTAGCTTGCCTAGTGTGTGCGGTGGACACATGGTACAAGGCAAGGGCCAGAGCCTGAGGGTTTCCCTTGACCACACAAGCACAGTACACATGATACTTGCTTTTATTTCATTTGGCCTTATATAATGTCTTCCCTACGATGTTCGTTATACCAGGGGTCAGTACATGGCTCTGCTTACCATGTCTTTCTCAGTAGAACTCCATTAGTGGTCTAGCTGCCCAGCTCACTCTAGAGACAACTGGGTCTGCTGGAGTGCATTTTGGGGGTGTATGGTAAGGGACCATGGGTGAGCTCAAGAGGTGACTGAGAATGCAGCCAGCAAGAGTTGAGGCTCACAGCCCTACAGCCAGAAAGAAATTCTGCGAAGCTCTCGAAGAGCCTTGAAGTAGGTTACACGGTGTAGCTGATACCTTGATAGAGCTTTATGAGATTCTAAACAGATCAGCTAAACTATGCTTAAACTCATGACCCTGGTAATTGTGATAAAAATGTGTTGTTTTAAACTTCTAACGCATGGTAATTTGTTATGGTACAATGGAGAGCCAAAACAACAGCTGTGCCGTTCGTGCATGGTGTATGTCTACACTTTTGGACAGACAGCGAAGTTGAGTAGTTATAACAGAGACCCCCCGTAAAATGTGCAAAGCCTACACATGGTCCTCTGTAGGGGTAAAAAGTGTGCAGATGCCTGTGTTATATTCCGCCTCCTAAACTGGGACATTCCTAGAAGTCATAAGGAGTTGTAAGATGGATGCAGTGAGTGTTTCCATAGCATCACTTACATTGTTACCCAACAGGAAGCTATCTTCTATGCTGCTTTGCAGCTCCTTCAAACCATAACACTAAGTCTCACCGATGAATTGTGAAAGTCAGCTTTGAGCAGGCAAGGATTGTAATGTTTCAGGGGTAACAGCAGTGAGGCAGAAGAAACCCAGGTCCCAGCCTCCTCCCGTGGCTCACTTCTGCCTACGTGCCCACAGCAGATGGCTATATAAGAAAACAGGCTTGAGCAACTCTGTTTGGATCAAGTGAGGCCTGTAAACTGTAATTTAGCCTATGGCTCAACTAATTTGATAACATCTTTTTAATTAGGCAGTCATTTAAAATATATTTTAGAGCGACAAACATTTAACAGCAAATCTGCAAACTGTATAAATGTCAAAGAGAAGAATAGAACACCTAAAGGAGAAAACCAAAACCTGACAGCAGTCCACAACTTCAGCATCGACTCTTGGAGTTCCTGTGACCGTGTATTCTTCCTCCTGTCCAAGTGTGGCTGGAATCTGAGCAAACCTGAGTGGACATTGTGAATTTGCCCCGGAAGTCTTCCTGTAACTCCTTTCAACTACTAAAAAGGGGCAGGTGGGGCAGTTCTGACTTGTTCAGACTCATTAGTAAGAAGCTAGTCAGCTAGTCGGGGCGGGGGGGGGGGGGGGGTTATAATTTTAAATTACAGTTCAGTCAATTTTGCTTCCTTAAAACTTTGATTTTTTTTTTTTTGGTTAAAAGTTATGCAAATAGTCTACTGAATAGACCAACCTCATTTAACACTAAAATTAGAAACACTTTAATTTGAATTTTATAGTAAAGCTTAATGGCATTTATAATTTTGAAAAAACTGAAGGGATTTTCATCATTGTTCCCCTTCTGCAACCTTGAAGTCTCCTAAGACTTATGTCTCTGGAGGATGAGGTGTCGACCTTTACAGTCCAAATCCAGGTGACTGTGGTTGCTAGCTTGCTTTGTCTTATTTAAAATGGACCGTTTCTAGTTTCTATTTCAAAAGAAATAGACTGTAGATCTAAGGAAATGCACAGTAGGGGTCCAGTTCATACACCCATAAGGAAGATGGTCATGGTGGGTTAGTCTTCGAGACAGGAAAAATACCAAGTGTATGATACCTGTCCCTTAGCAGGACCAGATTTCAGTCATTTCAGTGGCTTATGAGAACCGGAGAGTCATTTCTTAAAGGATTCAATTTCATTTTTACTTTTTTTTTTTTTGTTTGTTTTATTTTCTGTTTTTTGAGACAGTTTCTCTAGGTAGCCCTGCCTGTCCTGGAACTTGTTTTGTAGACCAGGCTGGCCTCAAACCCACAGAGCTCTGCCCGCCTCTGCCTCCCAAGGGGATCAAAGGTGTGCGCCACCACCACCGGGCTAAGGATTCAATTTCTTAAAGTATCTTTTTCTTCAAAGAAATCCACGAAGGAAAGCAGTAGACAGTAAATTCAATCACTGCATTTATTTTTACTGGTGTTTTGATTTTTTACTTTTTCACAAACACAGATTACATATGCATTTATTTTTGAAATTGAATTTCAGAGAGCACAGTTCATCTTACCAGAATCATTTAAGGCAAAGTCAGTAAGGAAGTTTTTCTCCTCTATCATAAATATGGATTTACCATGAGGCATGACTTCCTTGATTTCTTAAGCTCGTTTCTCGTGCCTCCTAAATTCCTGCTTTTCTTTTATGCTTTCTTTCTAGCCCACAGCAGATTCTCTTTGCAGGTTCAACCAGGCCTCCTCTAGACAAAAGGCTCTTGAAAAAAAGATACCCTAACACTTCCGCACCGGATGCTCCAACTTCACACACACACACACACACACACCATGCAGGAGTGTGGTATGCTTTGGCAGAGAACAGAGAAACACAGTAATTTTCCAGATGACCAGAGGAAGAGTGACTCACGAATCCCAGACCATGTGTTCCACACTGCAGTCCAGCCTCTCTGTGGCATGCTGATGTAAGTAGCTCTGCAAACATCACGGTACTTGAGAAATGAAGGCTGAATGAGTCCGTGGAGCGCATAAACAGTATGTCTCCCTCGGCCTCTCCTTATTTGCACAATACCATCTAAATTTTTAAAACAACCCAAATCACTGTAGTAGTACAAGAGTAGTTTTCAGACTCTGAGAGCCATGTACATCTGCAATTCCATGAGGGAAGAGCCCCCCTCCTGGGGAGGCTCTCTTCAAGTCACTGATCCCTTCATTCATCATGTACATATGGAGAGTAAAACCTTAATGACCAGCTGAAACCCAGATTTCTGCCACCCAGAAGGCTAATGCTTGTTCTCCCATTGCTCGGAGGAGATTTATGACAGTCATGAAGTTGACCTAGACATGCTTCTGGGTTCTGATGCTGCGAGCCCTGAAAACAATGACATTCTTACCGAATTCTGCGGTTATTTATAAGACAGAGTCAAATGAAGTGCTCCAGAGAGACATCAACAACATTCTTCTATTGAGAGGTATGTTCAGCATGGAGAGGGTTTGTGAGCTCATTGCCCAGAAGACTTTAATTTCCTGCTGAAAAGTGCATTTTGATTAAAGACATGGAACAGACACATCCTGTGTACACTCCCTACAAGGAGACTTGACCCACCGATTGGAGGCCATTCAGTGACAAAGTTTGAAAAACAGATCTCATGGGGCTTGGATTGTTCAAGGTTATCACAAATGTGCTACCTGATCAGAGATTTTTTTTTTTTTTTAAATTGTAGATAATACAGAACGCAGGAAAGGTGGGAAGCCAGGCACAAGGCTATTCAATATTTGGGGTAAGCATTCCACCTATGCAACCAAAACTGTGTGCCCTTCGGAGTGGTGTCCTGTGGAGGGATCTGTTGCTTGCTGATAGAATGACCATCTATAAAGTTTAACTACCTCATGCAGAATGCCCTGTGAGCCTTAAAGTCGAGGTCCTTCTGTGCCCATTGTAGTGTTTTTTTTTTTTTTTTTTTTTTTTTTTTTTTTTTTTTTTTTTTTTTTTTTTTTTACTGTCTGTTCTATTCTTTGTGTGATCATAGAGCAGCAAGAAGAACCGGATGCATCAGCCTTGAGGACACTTGTGAGTTGCCCTATGCAGACTGTGCTCCCACTGGAGGCCCGCGGGCTCCGAGGGTGGCCACCTTTGCTGAACATGCTGTTAGCCCCCTCCTGCGTTTGGGTCAGCGATCTTGTGAAGCTCTGCTTGGTGGGTTCTGATGTGTTGGCGGTTGCTCGGAGCCAGTGATGCAGTGGAGTGTGACCACCATCTGTGAGCTTCTTCAGAGGCTCCATGAGGATTTGCACAAACATATTCCTCGGCTCTGAACCAGCTCCCGGGAACCACTCTTCTGCACTGACCGCCCTGAGTCATTTTCTTGGGGCGCTGCCATGCCACAAATGCCGCTCTACTTTTGTATCTATTTTCTCAGTTCACACTTTCAGTTTAATGTGTAGTGAAGAAAATCTCAAAACAGTTTAGTCACTGCTTGTATTTTAGATCCGCGGTCGATGTAGCGTTTTCGGGGCTATAAACAAGCTGATTGCAAAATAGGACTGTGACGAGTCAGATTTTCTTCCCATAGAAAAGGATTTTTTTTTTTGAGATGTGAAAAAAAATCCCTATGATTAAATAATTGTGCATTTCATAGGTTTTCTAAAATTGACCTTGTTTAGGTTTTACTAAAGGAACCACCTCTACTTTATGAACTTCTCTGTACAGGGTATCTGCTTGAACAATTGCAAGGAAAGGATAAATGTTTTCTAGAAGAGGAAACATTATACTTCTACCCACTTCCCTGTGGTCCTCTTTCTAGCCAGTCACATCCCTTGGGGAAGAATGGCATGTCTAATAACAAGTATAAAGTACAAGTCGCCCATGTTCACAGATGGGCAGAGTAACTGTAAAGACTGTGAATGATGCTTCTCTCTCTCACTGCTTCTGATCCATGAGTTAGAATTGCCAATGATTAGGAGCCCTTCAGGGTCTCTCCATCTTTCTGTGCCTCAGGAAAGCACTGTTGATGTGGTTTTATGCCATAGAGCAGGCAGGGACTAGAGAAAGACTGTCCAAACTTCCGAGGTGAAGCTGAGGAGTGATGAATGGGGAGGAAGTCCTTAACTAGGCATTATGGGTGGACCAGATGCTCCAACCCGCCATTACTAAGTTCTGAAAGATGATCAAGTGTCTGTCCCTCTGTATGCAGCTCCCTTGGGAGAAGAGCTGGAGAGTGATGGGCAGAACAAGATCTGCATGTTTAGCAGCTCTCAGGCCAATGCCATTAGTGCAATAAAAATTCATCTCTGTCCTTTATAGCTCTTCGAAGATCTGTCTGACCTTCTATTGTGAACATCTGTAGAGAGCTGTAGACAAAAATATCAAAGGCATCATTCGGACCTTTCAGTTCCCAAGTGGGTACAGAGCAAGAGAAAGGGGAGTTGAAATCAATGAGTTGAGCTCACTCTGAGGAACACGAGCGAGAGGCTTCTAACCTTGCTCTCCAGAGAAGCTTCATGTTCACCTCTCTGAGAACAGAGGAGAGAGATGCCTGCGCCAGCTTTAAAGATCCATTGAGAGTTGGGAATATAGCCCCGTGGAGTGTTTGCCTAGTATATGTGAGGCCTGGAGATCCATTCCCAGCACCAAGAAAAAAACCGAAGGGATTGATGGGTTACCCACCTCCCACAACACATTGGTGACGGGTGTGGCTCTCAGTCTGTCACAGAATGGAAACCATACCCTTCTCTACACTTACTTCTGAGACAACTTAAATTGCAGTCTTCCAGCTCCTTGGAAACCAAGGAGGTATGGGGTAGTCCCCTGGTAGCCAGGACTCTGTCTTGTAGCCTTTGGCGTCACTTGTGGAATGGACGAACAGAAAGCATGTCAGCCGCTTTCTAGACTGGCGTGTAGCATGCCGCCAGGGAAAGTAGGAAACCAAGGGAAAGGGATGTGATGGTGACTGACAGATCAAGTTACCGTGGTGTGCTCCAGCAACAGATGTCCAAGCCACTCCAGGGCCATATTTATGCCTCCTTTTCCAAATGCATTTGGTCATCTGCAAGTGGAACTGATGTGAATCATATGAAAACTGTGTGATTGGCCTCAGGCAGGGGGGATGAATGAGTTGAAAGATTCTTCCATGTGTGATTCACTCTCTAGTATTTCACCATCCCAGTGTGTATCAAAAGCAGACGAAAACGTTACTGCGATGCCAACGGGCTGCTGCCTCAAACAGTTAACTGGTTCTGTAAGTGCTTGTTGGCTGAACTTCACCCACAATGTGTGTTACAGGCAGGGAAAAGGGAAACGTTAATCACATTAGTGGCATTAAGCTTTAAAGACCCATGCAGCATTTCAGTTCCCTGCATGGGGTTCCGAAGTGTCCTAGGACATGTTTCAGAGTAATTAAACTTGTTTTGCCTCTTTCTGCTTCTGCAGGGCTGCCTCTGAGGGGCAGGAGAGCCAGATGGCAGGAGGATCCTCCCCCTAGACCAATCAACATGTCCTCAGCATTCTGCCCCCTTCAGCCACAGCTTGTTCCCAGTGCCCTTCCTCCGTGAATCATGAGCAATCCCAAGACAGGCAGGATGGGAGCTGAAGACCACCAAGAGCTAACCCTTCTGGCAGAGAGATGCTCTTCCGCTCTCAGACGGCAGTGCCCAGGATGCACAGGCAGAACCCTGGTGCAGTCTTTGAGGTTTGTGCTGTGAGAGTGTGGTCAGTGAAGGAATACGTTGGCTAGTGCTCTACACATAAACCAGAGATCCTTCATTCATTAAAAAATAGTAAAGACAGGAAGGAAAGCAAAATGGCAAAGAGTGTGTGTGCATGTGTGTGCGTGTGTGCGTGCAAGTGCATGCGTGTGTGTGTGTGTGTGTGTGTGTGTGTGTGTGTGTGTGTGTGTGTTTTGAGATGTTTTTAAGGGGAAAAGTGATATTTTTTGGTGGCATCATGATTATCGTATTCAAATGGGATACTGGACAAAGCCTCTGCCAGGAAACTCTGTTTGCTTAGTTACTTATTCATTGATAGCAGCTACCTAATCCACTGTTTGATAATCCACCAAGCAGGGTACTGCCAGGACTCTGTCCTGCTTGAGGAGGACAGTGGCACTAACAGCGTTCCCTCAGGGTCTCAAGCGGAGGCTGACCACTGGGAGAAGAGGCACTTCCTACTGACTCCTGTAGCTATTTGGGGCAGCAAGGAGCAAGGGGGGAGTGGCGTGGGGGGGGGGGGGCAGGAAACACCAGCACCCTTGCCTCTGAGGGGCAGTGACTGGTTCCGGCACCGATCTTAGTGCCAGGTTGAACACCACCCACCCTGAGTGGGCAGCGTGTGTGACACTGGATACACCTTCATCAAGCAAGGGCTGGTTGGAAATGTGTAGCGCTTGGAACTTTCAGATACCTGTGCTCCCTGGATCCTCTCAGAATTCTCTAGAAAGTCGAGTGTGTGGTTTCTATTTTCTAGATGACCAAATCAAGCTTCCTAAAAACCACCCAGCTCACTTCAGACTAGGATTCCAAATTTCTGATACTCGGATTAGGGCTCTTTTGATACAGTGCCAATTAATGTTTGCCTCGTGTGAATAGACTCCAAGTACTTGCTCTGCCTGACGGCGGAAACCCTGGTTAGCCCTTCTATGTTGTGTGGTCCCTATAGTAAACTTTCTGGGTGGAAAGTGTTGGAGGCACCACGCTGGTGGCGGGGCCATTCGGTATGTTCCAGGAGCTCGCGGCCAGTGACGGGTAAAGGTATGAGAATCTGCCCCATCCCTGTGTCCAGAGCGCACAGTCCATTCATGAACTTGCAAGCCTGGCCCAGACTAGAGAGCCCCTTTCCAGGCTCTCCCGAAACAGATGCTGGGCAGGACTTCCAGCCCCTCTGCTTCCCACTCTTCTCCTCACTAACTGGGACCTTCCTCCTTTCTCCTCATATATTGCCTAATAGACACCCACACCATGCCACATCTTCCACCCAAATCAGTATTTTCTACACACCTGGACACTGGCTGTGACTCTGCTTGTTAGGGAGCTGTTGACTGGCTCTGGCCTGAACATATCAATAAACGTCTCATCCACTCGATAGACCTCAACTGCGCCTCCTCCAACCTGGCTTGAACCCCTGCCTGGAGGAGAGAGATCTTCCCTTTAATTCTACAGTATCCCCAAAAGTTCCTGCATAGTTGCCATTTTATCATACCTTACTTTTTTTACACATTAAGCTTTCCTTATTTTGATTATTGTAAGGTTTCTGTCTCCTGGTTGGACTTAAATTGATGTACTTACCAAGTACCTGTGTAGTGTCACAGATGAGGAAAATGAAGAGTTGGGTTGTTATTGGCAGGTATTTTTGTCACATACCTTTGGTCACTTTTTAAAGCACCTGCTTACTTTGATGCTGGACACATCCAAAGTAAAAAAGTGGACTGATTTACTGGGCACAGTTGAGTTTTAACACCGCTGTTTGGTGCGGTGCAATAGCAACTCATGGAGCTGGCAGTGTGCAGGACGAGACGGGGAAGCTGCCCATATAGATCACCATTCGCTTGGTCAATAAAATTGGCCACTAAACTTCTGAGTGTGATCCTCGGCAACAACTTCTGGAGCAGTGAGTGAAGGAACCATTCGGTGGGAAAGACTGAAAACCGCACAGCAGCATCTTAAAGGAACCATGGACAGGCCACGTGGTCACACCTTTTATAAAGCTTAGAGAGGATAAGTGACTTGTCTGGTGTCATATGACCCCTCTGTGGCAGAGCTGGGAGGAAAAAGCAGGTTTCATCATCAGTCTGAATCTGGCCATCACTTTCTCTAAGTGTGGTGGGTGCACACAAACTGCCTGTAGTCAGAAGTTTTCCTGTGTCCCACCAGGTTCTGCAGCCACTCGAACCCAAGTAAACACATGGAGGCTTACGTTATTTACAAACTGTGTGGCCCAATGGCTCAGGCTTTTCACTAGCTTGCTCTTACAACTTAACTCAGCCCATTTCTATTAATCTATGCATTGCCACATGACTTCGTGGATTACCGGTGCTTTTACATCTTGCTTCTCCTGGCGGCGGCTGGCAGCATCTGTCCCACTCTCCTTTGTTCTCCTCTTTCTCTAGTTCAAATGTACTGCTTAACTTTATTCTGCCTCACCATTGGCCAAACAGCTTTATTTATCAACCAGTCAGAGCAACACATATTCCCAGCGTACAGAAAGACATCCCACAGCACTTGCTCTTTTCTGCCTAATCAAAAAGGAAGGTTTTAATTTTAACATAGTAAAATTACATATAATAGAACAGTTATCAAGCAAGAATTACAGTTACAATATCTAGCCTATTTGTATTTGACAAAATTAAAGAAAATAGTCTATCCTATATTTGTGAGTCTAAAGTTTCATATCTAATTTATTTTTTATCATGACTAAGGGAAACGATAATTATAACTATCTAGTCTTCAACTATAATATTACCTGAGTAACAGAAAGTTCATGGCAAGCAACTTCTATAATTCTAGAAATGACAGAGACAGCTGGCTACCTGGCCAGTCATCCAAAGTTCCTCTGTAACGTTGGGGCATCTATCTTCAGCCTATAGGCCTAGAGTCTCTGGAATAGCTTTCAGTTAAGCAGGAAGTTTTAAGGATTGTCTCACCTATTGGCAAAGTTCATCAATCACTTCTTCCTGTGTCTTGCAGAATGTCTGGCAGTTTCTTCTGCAAAGCAGGAACTTGAAGAACCATCTCACCTTGCAAGGTTTAGTGTTCACTTTCCTGCATGTCCAGTTCATTCAACATCCTGTCAAGCAAGCAAGGCAAAAGCACCTTTTTGCCCAGTGGTTAAATTTGGGCGCAAAGAAAGCAAACTTCATATGGAGTTTCTTTGATGCCCATCATTTTCTCTGAAGTAGATTGGTGCTGCAAGGAGCAAACATGTCTCAATGTCCAGCAAAGTCTAAGTTTTTAAAACATTTTAAATGCCATATTCTGTACATCTTTAAAGTGTTTGAAGATTACCTACCTAATTGAAATATATCTCTGTATACCTAGAAAACCTAACTAACATGACTATAAGTTTGATTATCATAGATGACTAATTATTAATCTGTATTTCTTAATTATACATTACAATTTTAAATGAGTTGCATAAACATAATCATTTAAACAAGAGTAAACATATATATACAGTATAACAAAATTAACTTTAAATTTGTATCAATAAACTAAAATCCATAGCAATGTAAAACATTTCAAACAAGTTGTTGCTCTTTAAAACTAGACTCAATAATCTACCCTTTTATCCTATCATATCTAACTGCCACCAGGAAGTAGGGGGAAAATACCTTAATACATGCATGGCTATTCCATACCTACTTCTAAAAAGTTAATCTGGGGAATCCTAGTAGTTCCTCTGCAATACTGTTACCTTTAGTATGGCAAACAATGGTGTGTCCATCCAACATGCTGGATCTAGGATTTGACTTCCCTGAAAGTAGCGGAACCGTTTTAAGCCCTGGTGGCCACTGCAGTGCCCGCCTCAGAACATCTCTGGGTTGTCTGCTGTGTTCTTGCAGCTGAAGGTAAAGTCTCCACCGGTCCTTTGCAGCCTTTGTGCTTTAATTATGCTAATGATCTCCCTTATCACACTGGTTTGCTCATCCGGATGGACCTTTGGTTGTTTTGTTATTGCTCAACAGTTGTTATTTTTCCAGGGAACCACAGCGTGGACTCCTTAATGAAGTGAGGGAGCCAACACAGCCTGTTCCTCGTACTCCCATGAAGCTTGGACGAAAGCATGACTTCCAGCTTGAGCTCTGAAATGAATGTATGGGCATGTGTGACACACTGTGCTCTACTAATTTTTCAGCCACAGATGGGTCACAGATGAGCCCACGAGGGGTGTGGATGTAGCAAGGGTTGCCTGAGCTAAGTCAAGCCATGTTAAGAATGTCTTTGTTGGCTGTCATTGAGAAGCTGATGAATTGATTTGGGATGTGCATTCGCCTCTTTGTTGAGAATCAAGAAGCATGTGGGGCCAAAGGAAATGTGTCTGCATGTCCCAGGCAAGGCCAGCTGCTCTGCAGGAGTTCCCAGTGGAAGCGAAGCTGCGCTTGCCAGGCCAGCCCTGCCTGGGGATGTGCCTCACTCACTGAAGTTGCAGGTGCGTGGGAAATGAAATTGTCCTCCCAAGAGAATCTGCCATAGTGACCACGGCTCCGTCTGCCTGGCCCAGTGAAGTGGATGAAGGACACGGACCGAGTTTCTAAATGTTTACACAGCCTAGGTTCTTCATAGCCTGGGCTTGCTCTAAGAGCCACGAGACACATTCTGGCTTTCCACAAAGCCAATCCTCTCCTCCCTTGGCTTTCTGAATTCTTGCATGTCCATGTTCTAGACATCTAATGCTCCCTCTGGGAATAGCCTTCTTTTTCTTTTGTCTTACTTGAGTGGTTCTCAACCTGTGGGTCATGACCCCTTTGTGGGTTGGATGACCCTTTCACAGGGGTCACATAGCAGATATCCTACATATCAGCAAATTATGTTACAATTCATAACAGTTGGAATATTACAGTTATAAAGTAGCAACGAAATCATTTTATGGTCGGGACTCACAACATGAGGAACTGTATTAAAGGACTGCAGCATTAGGAAGGTTGAGAACCACTGTCTTAATTATTCATTCAAGAGACACCGTGATTGACACTGTCCA